AAGGAAAGGAAAGGAAAGGAAAGGAAAGGAAAGGAAAGGAAAGGAAAGGAAAGGTTATAAAGAAGCAGCTTCCGATATTTTTCACAGCGGTTATAAATGCATTTATATTTTACCCTCTCTCTCTAAGGTGACATCATAATCTCCTTCTGTCCATAGTCCACCCTTTCTAATCATCAAACCCAAAAATCACAAGTTCATTTTTTTCTTGTTTCAGCAAAAAGTCCATCAGGGGCTTCCAGTCACTGATAAATGCAGTTGTTGATCTTTCTCTAATCAAGCAAGTCAATGTTGCCACCTCTGCTAGTTCCATCATCTTCACCAGCCATTCCTCCCATGTGGGTGTTTCAGAGTCCTCCCATTTTGGCCCCTATAATAGTCTCACAGCAGTAACCCCATATAAAAATAAACTTCCATGTCTCTTTTCTAATTGTCCATTAATCCCAGCAAGAAAAATTCTGGTTGTAGGTACATTTCCTTTTAAGACTTGTTCGGGCGACCCCTAAACCTTTTGTTATCAGAAAATCTTGGCTGGAAGATGGATTCCTTTCTACTTTTCCTCCTTGAAACTCTTCGCTGTCTCTCCAAAATGCCGTTTCCCACTCAGAATTCCCCAGGTTTGCTCGGATGGTTGCATCAGCGGGAGTTTCCAAAGCAGAGGAAGGTGGTTCTGCTTTGTTAGACCCCACCTTAATACTTTGTCCAGTTCTGGGCCTCAACTTTTAAGAAGGATTCAGTGAAATTTGGAGAGGCTCCAAGAAGGGGCAGAAGAATGAGCGGGGATCTCAGGAGAGGAACCAAGTTCTGTGCAGAGGGACTGGAGAAGCTGAGATGTTTAGCCTTGGGGAAAGGTCACAGAGGGGGCCTCATAGCATCCTTTGAAGATCTGGAGGGATGCAACCCAGAAAGTCAACATCTGTACCTGCTTCAGGACACGAAAGAATGGATCTGAGTTATAGCAGTGTTTCTCATCCTTGGCCAGTTTAAGATGAGTCCCAGAATTCCCCAGCCAGCAAGGCTGAATGGGGAATTCTGGGAGTTGAAGTCCACTCATCTTAAAGTGGCCAAGTTTGAAAAAAACTGAGTGATAGGAAGGCAGATTCTAACCCACTATAAGGAAAACAACTTCCTAAAAAGAAGAGGAATTGGACTGTGGAGCCAAGGACTCAGAGACGTGGGGGCCGTCTTTGCAGCACGTCTTCGAGGGGAAGTTAAGCATCCTCCTCTGGAAGATGCCCTGCTTTGCTCCTGCACAGAGCGGGGGTTTGACTCCAGGATCTCAACAGCCCCTTCCAGTTCCAGGATTCTCTGCTCCTAAAGGAGCATTTTTAGGAACTGCTGCCGATGCTCAAGCAAAAAAGTCATGAATTACTTCACCTCCAACTGGCTAAATTCAGACAGGCTTAATCTGATTAATGATTTAATCTATTTTCAGGGGAATAACTGGAACCAGAGCCTTACAGTAATCAGAAGGGTGAGATTTACTCAGCAGATTAAGCTAGACCCAGACAGACAGACAGACACACGTGTCACCAGGCTTAGTGTGTCATGCAGACATACAACTAACCATGCAAACGTGTGATGTGTAACCACCAGGTTGCAGGGAGGGACCTGAGGACGCCTGGCAAATCGCTCCTTTGTAAGTGGCCCTTCCCTCCGTGGCAGCCCAGTTTGGAACAGGCCAGCCCCCTCCCCGCCAGCCATTTTGTAAGTGCGCCCGCAACCTTTGTAAGATTCCAAACGTGCCCCATAGCCGGAAAAGTTCACGTAGGGATTCTTGAGCTACGAATTTAGGGTTGGGAATTCGCGCTCGAGCAAATCCAGAGGACGGTTTAAGGAGGCACGCCTCTGCCCGCCCGGGTCCCCCCCTTCTGCAGAGGGAGGCCATCCAAGAGATGCGGTTCCAATCTCAGGATGGCGGCGGTGGCAAGCCGCTTTCTCAGAACACGCAAATGGGCGGGTGGTTTCCTTGCCAGCCCGTCTTTTTTAACCTGGGGGAGAATGGAGGGGGACCCTTGTTCAGGAGTGTCCACAGGAGAAGTCAGTGAAGTCACAGCCCTGTGATTGAAGCCCCCACCCCTTTTTTGCAGGTGTCGGGGTCTGCCACGCTGGAAGCCCTTGGGGCTGCAGGTCGCACGGCTGTGGCCGCCATCTTGACTCTTTTGACCCCTCCCTCCCTGCAGACACCCCTGGACGTCAGCTCTCTTACAAGAGCAGAGTTAGCTAAACTGAACTTCCCCCCCATAATATTCAAAAGATATTTTAAATACGTTTGATTGATCGATCATATTCATATTCATATTTATATAGCATCCCCAGGATAAGGTAGAAAAACAGAAACCTCCCATTCAGGAGATGAAAAATCCAGAAAACTGGAAGATATATCTTACACAGTTTCCTCTTAACCAACGGAGTATGACCGAATTTCTCTTCGCTCATCCCCGAAATGACCATTTAATCTGCATGCTGAAGAGGCGCATCTCAGCCCCTTGCACGTGGCTCTTCTGCAGTCAGGGCTCTAATTTCTAGTTTTAAAAAATGCTGCCTCTGTGCAGAATTTTATTTTTAAAAATAGCTCCCTCGGGGGCTGTACTGAGGCATTTTTCTCACAACCTCTCCTGTCACAAGGTGCTTTGAGATCTGAAAAGGCAGAATTCAAACAGGCACTTCATTTCCTTGGTTATTTATTAACCGAAGGCATTTTTTGCAAAAAAAAAAAAGGCTGATGTGAAGTCTCCTGGGGAGAATGTTATTTGTCAACTCCCTGCCTTATTAACTGGGTCATTCTTGGCCATGTAATTTAGATTTAATAGCTTACAACAGTGTTTCTCCACCTTGGCAACTCTAAGATGCGTGGACTTCAACTCCCAGAATTCCCCAGCCAGCCATGCTTCCCCTTGCTGGCTGGGGAAT